ACGCAATAGTGTGTGTGTAGATAGTGAGTAATTGATCTGCAGTGAGAAAATATTGTTGAAGTTAACGCGTTTGTTTTTAGCGCGAATGTTGAAATCAAGTGTATCGTGAAGTTGTATTCGGAAAGAATAAACCAGTTTTATTAAGTAAGGATTTGTGTCGCCAAAGTTTCGTCGGAACGAAGTTACGGAAAAATCAACTAACAAACGGAGACGTAACACATTGATTTAGCTACATACTGATGACTAGAGCAACATTCATTTAGCTACACATTTAGAGAACTGGCAACTAGAACAACATTGATTTAGCTATACATTTAGAGAACTGGCAACTAAAACAAAACTTACTTAGCTACACGTTTAGAGAACTGGAAACTAGAACAACATTCATTTAGCTATAAATTTAGAGAACTGGCAACTAAAAGAACACTTACTTAGCTACACGTTTAGGGAACTGGCAACTAAAACAAAACTTACTTAGCTACACGTTTAGAGAATTGGCAACTAGAACATCACATCTAATATTAAAAGGTTATAATTGAAGGAACTTGTTTTTCACACTTCTGAAGATCACGTGAAACCATGTTGAAACATGTAGAGTGACTTTTCATTAACACACATGCTAACATCGAATGTGTTCCAGTTGTAAATTGTTAGTTTGTGTTTGTAGGTTGGAATTCTTCTTCTTAAATGCTCTGAATGAATTTTGAAATAATGCTGATGATAATATTTTCAAATTCCAATGTAATCCCTTTTCGATCTTTTAAAATATTGTTGCGTCAGCGAGATCACGTGACTATTCTCACGCCCTCTGCTTTCTAGAACTATCCTGTACCTTGGCGAATGCTCTAGCATTTACTAGATATAGGGTAGTCTGGTATATAAAAAAGGGTGACAACGTGACAGAATAATGAATGTGTAGGTAGTGAGTAATTGATCTGCAGTCACAGGGTATTGTTGAAGTTAACGTTCGTTGTTATAGCGTTTGTTTTAGCGCGATTGTTGAAGTTGAGTGTATCGGTAAAGTTATATTCGGAAATAATAAACCAGTTTTATTAAGAAAGGGCTTGTGTCGCTTAAGTTTCGTGGGAACGAAGTTACGGAAAGTTAATTAACAAACGGAGATGTAACAATACTGAGTATGAAGCAGTTATGAGCGTTCAGTGTATGAAATGGGTTTATGAGTTGATACAAAGAAACTCACAAAAACGAAGAATTAAAACCCATAGAAAAGAAAAAGTAGCTAAAAGGTGTTTTATATTAGTCTATGAAACGAACTGAAGCTACATTATTGTAAAGTAAAGTAAATATAATGTTGTAATGACGAAAAGCTTAGCTGAATATGCAGAAACGCCTATATGCGGGTTCACAACATGATAAGCATATCGTTCTGAACGAACTGCGCATGCGTATTTTAGACTTAAAAAAAAACATGAAACCCATGGAAATTGTATTTAGTGTAATATTCAATTTTTAGGAAATTACACGCGAGTTAAGAGTTGTTTGTGTGAAATACTTTGCAAATAACAACTAAAGTCGAAATCGATGCCAATCGTCGAGTGATGACAACGACATTGAGCCATCATGTATCATACTTGTTGCATTGAAAAGTTTGGTTAGACAAAAAACAGGTAAGGTGATTCTGAATTGAAAAGCCAATATGCAATTCGGACCCCTTGGACAAAGGCTTTTCTAGGATATGAGATTTGTAGCGTTTAATCAAGAAATTCATGAGAAAAGTTCCGGACAGACAAACGCCAGCATATTATTCATATTGATTCAAGATAATATTGTTACGTCTCTGGTCGTTAGTTAATTTTCCGTATAATTTCTTTCTGAAGAAACTTTAGCGATACAAGTCCTTTCTTGAATAAAACTGGTTTATTCTTTCTAAATACAACTTTGCAATACACTTAATTACCACAGTCACGCTATAACAAACGCTATAATTCACAACGAACGTCTCACGTGCTCAACAATACGTCTCTCTCTCTGTCTGCAGTTCAATTACCCATTACATTGTTGCCGTCAATTCTTACCGGTTTATATATACAAGACTACAGCATATCTAGTAGCCTCTCGAGATTTCAGGAAGGGACGTGAATGTTCTAGAAATTCATGACGTGTTACTAGGGTCACGTGACTTCCGCTGTCGTAACAATATTTTCAACCTTTATATTTTACTCTTCAAACAAAAAACCAAACCTTTATTAATTCTGAAAACTTGAATAAAGTTCCCCAATCCCAGGGAAAATAAGTCTAAAATTCTGAGCTTATACTTTTAACCGAAATGAATTAAATCATATATTATTCTAATACCCAATCATGCATTTATTCCATCAACTACAAACAAAAATGTTAATTACTGCCATAAAAGCTGTGTTTATTAAGTTGATGCCACCTTTCTTTAGATATGATGACTTGAAACGTCACTTTACAACTAGTTGTTTTGTGTTTGATGTTATTATGAAGTAGTTTCGTTTATCTTTGTAAGTGATGTATAGGTAAAATGCATACAGTATTCCCAACCAAACTTCATTCGAGTTGCACTAGGCTTCAGGGAGTTGAACATGTTATATTAAAATGATTTGGAATATGTAAATCAGCAAATTACGTGACAATCATAGTTGATATATAGTTGCGGTATAATTTCATGTCTCAGAATTACACTTTGACATTGTTTGGCTTAATATACGTAGTGTGCTGCCATAGAAAATTTATCACTTTTGGAAGGATATGTAACAGCCCTTTCCGACACAAAATACTCCATGATAAAGATATGTTCAAATTGGTCATGTTACGTCTCCGTTTGTTAATTAACTTTCCGTAACTTTGTTCCAACGAAACTTTAACGACACAAGTCTTTACTTAATAAAACTGGTTTATTCTTTCCGAATATAACTCTGCGATACACTTAATCTCAATACTCGCGCTAAAACAACACTGTAACAACGAACATCAATAATACTTCCGACTGCAGTTCAATTACTCACTATCCTCACACACACATTACATTCCCCTCTTTTATATACCAGCGTACCCTATTTCTAGTAAGAACTTGAACATTCGCCAAAGTACACTGATAGTTCTAGAAACGTTGCGTCACGGTGGTCATGTGACTCGCTGACGCAACAGTCATTTAGAATTCCAAGGTGAGGATATCCCTTGGGCTCAAGGCCATTGTAAGACAAATGAATATAGATCAAGTTAGGATACTAGGACCATACAGAAAGAGATCTGCAACAATTCATACCCTAGCCATAGTAAGTAAAGTGAATCATCTTGTAACAGGTGAGAATCCACCAACACAAAGGTCAATAGTAAAAGCCACCCACAGCAGGCACATTAATGAAGAAGGATTTCCATTTGTAAAAGTGACATTAGTTTTGTGTACATAAGTTGTTTCTATGACATATCCATTCAACTGTCGAGTCCCCAAGTAACATAAGAAGAAAATAAGTATTCATGCTATTTCATGTAAAGGCATGCTGGCCAAGTCAATAAACGCAATGTCTATGGATTTCTATGCATTTGGACTATTGAAATGAATGCTGGGAGCCCGTTATCCTCAGATACTAGATGACTTGTGGAAAGTTATCAGAGAGACGTGCTGTGCTTTGGATATGAAAAACTTACAATGGAGCTTTCTGAAATGAAAACTACAATGAAGGACCATTTTCAAAATGCAAGATCGTCAGATAGAGCACGACTGGATATTACGGCTATAACGTTATGTTATGACTCTAACGAAGTTTAATATAATGTATTGAACCTGTGTATTATCTTTCTTTCTAAAATTCAAAAATGTTATAATTATAAACAAGAGTTTTAACTGCTATTTTCACCATAGCTAGACATAAACAGAGGATATAAATATAAACCAGGCTAGAGTAATCTGAGCTCATACATATTATAGTGAATTGTTTCAAAAGATGTCAACGTCTGTACATCAATTTGTGTTCCCCTGTTGATCAGCGGTAAGTCTTCGATCTTAGAACGCTTAAAACCAGGGTTCGATATCTACAGTGGACAGAGCATAGATAGGCCGTTGTGCAACTTTGCGCTAAAAACCAGTAACGACCCCAACTTGTATCATGAACTAAGAGTTTTAATTTTCAAATCAGAACATGGATTATGAATTGAAATAATTGTATCAGAAATGAAGTTGTTCTCCACACCTTTCTTTCGAGAAAGGAAAAACACATTTTTCTTCAAATTATGTGAAATATTACGGACATTTAATGGTATGCCCGTCTTAACAACAGGTAGCAGTAAAATAGATTACAAATGGCAACATCGTGTGTGAAATTAAGTGCTGATGTATACTTGGTTTGTTTGAATCATGCCCTTTCAACTGAAAGAGAAGAAGTAATGGGTCTTCTGATTGGCGAGGTAGCTCTCTCACTATATATTTACATACATACAGTGTTTTATTGGTTTGTTTTATATAAATGTTTTAATTTTTGCAGTAACAATTTAGTGAATACTATATCATTCAGTCACTGTCTTCACTTCAGCGAGAACTTCGGAGAAGGCTATACCTGGTTTAATGGTTATCACTGGTGTTACTATTTTCTGTTTCTTTATTAATAATAATATTAACTGTTATTTTAAAACTTGGAGTCATGGAAAACAATATTAGGAAATATGTAATGTTTGATAACTATTTTTCTTTTCATACTATTATATTCTAAAAAATAGTTTTTATTCTGCATATTACACCATCTTGATATTCTTTAGTTTAAATTAAGTTTAATCACACTAGGAAAATTTTTAATACTGTTGGTAATGCTAAAAGTACTATTTACTACTACTACTAAAGTTACAACTTGTATATGAACAATAACTTGTTTTATACATTGATAATAAAAATATTTATATGTATATATTTCTGAAGTCACAAATTAATGTAATGCTAACATCATCATTATAAGTTTAAAAAAAATAATTAAGGCCTTATTGAAGTTCTGGTAACAGCCACCACAAACACTGTTGTTCTTGGGCTTCTGTGAAAATGACAGCAGATTAGCAGTTAAAAAATGAGAATAACATAATTTTGTAATTATTTCACAACAGCTCCAGTGAAAAAAAGAACATTCATTATTCCTTGATATTCATCTTTATGTGTTTATCAGAAGCTTATAATTATAAATACTGAGGAGCAAGAAAAATTTGTAAAATTTAACTTAAGGTTTTTGTTAAGCACAGCAGAAAATTCTATTCACAATACACTATTTTGTAGTAGTTAATGCTTTATTGTAATATTACTATGTAATATATTTTATATATTTTTATGTTTATTAAACCAAATTTTATATACAATCAGGAGATTTGAAGTATAACTATAAACATATTAAAAACTAACAGTCAAACTTCTGTTTCAGTGTTTTCATAAAGTTCAGCCATTGTTTTTATTAACCTCTGACATTTTTCTTTTTATCATGAATCTTGATAGTGGTTCATAATAGGGATTGCAAGGAATTGCACAGTACCCTAACAGAATGGTTGGGGAAAAAGCACCTTAAACAGTAAAGGTTCAGTTCAAACAACACTTTAAAACCTTTACTATTGATTGCTAAGGCTATACATATATAAAATGCACCAAAAAATATGTATGTTAGATTTACAAGGAAAAGAAAATCTGTTCAAAATTGCCTGTTTGTAGTCCTCCTCCTCTTCTTCTCTTGCCAGACTACAACAAAAATGGTTTGGTATATTACACCCAAATTTTTGTAGAATAATAAGTAAGATATTGCGAAGGTCATAAGGATATTGAAAAGTCAATTTTTTCTTCTATACCTTGCATAAGCTAAAAAACATCATAATTCTAGTACAAATGATGTTCTCATTATCCCTTGAAGTTCACCTTCTTGCAAATATATAGTGTTCCTTTAAAAAGCTTAAGTACAGGGTAAAACAGAAATTACCAGCCAATAATAGATGAACATTAAATAACTAACATGTAGATACTCAATGTTTTGTAACCTGTACAATCAGTGAAGGAGTAAAAAAAAATAATCAATACACAATATCAAATTTTATTACACACATTCATAGCATAATTACTTTAAAAGACATGAAGGTTTATGTAAAGTGATGTTTTAGACGTATATGTTTTATTTGAAAAGGCTGCTTTTCTGTTGTTGAAATTTTATACAAGCTTAGTGGGAGTTGTCTCTCAGTGTAGGTATGTATTTGCCCATTGCTATGCATTATATATAGAGAATTTAGTTACATAGGAACTATAAATGCCTACTGTATTCTTAAACAAATCTCTTTGGCAAACTCCAGCTGCAGCTTAACATTTTACATCTTGAAACTAATGTGATCAAATAGTCAGTAGCTACAGTAAATCATCATGCACTGTATCAGCTAACTACTAGCTATATTTATTATCATAACAATGTATAAAGTTAGCTACCATATCAAGTAATCCTTTGCCCATAGTTGAGCATAAAAAAAGGCTGCAAACAAGATAATTAAAAAAATGGTCATTTAAACACCTTCAAAGAGGGATCGTAAATATGTAAGGGAACAAGACTGGAGATACTGTAGACATTATACATTCGAACTACAAATCCCTTATGTTTTGTGACTGCCAGGGTTTTTTTCTTTCTTTTGCCCATCTAAGCATTTGTCTGATTTTTTCCTTGTTTGCTCCTAGTTTTTTTATACCCCAGTCAATTGCTCTTAGCAATATCTATCTTGTGACACTCTCCACCTACATCAATGAGCCCTCTATTTTGGTACTGTGTATAAGCACCTCATTTAGATAATGTTATCATTTTACTAAACAAAGTGTCCTTAATGAGTTCCCCCAATATTATGATCATTCAGAGATACTTTCAACATTATCATGTTATCTGGTTGATTTTCATACTAATAATAATAATAGTTTTTAAAACATTTCTTCCACTTGGAAAGCCGATTTACAGTATGAATTCCCGGATTATTATTTTCAGCATAGAGGCAAATTCGGTCTCTCCTATCCCACCTCTGATATTTAACACGTGTGGGGTGGGGGGGGGGTCACTCTCTGTTAAGATAGTCAGTGATCTAATTCATAGTGAGATTGAGACATATGTTCGGAACTGTGGTGGTCCTCTGTGGGGCTTAGAGGCTGCAGTTGGGTGCAGTCTCCAACATTTTGGAGGACATTAGATTTGCTTTTTCCTGTGCCTTCTTTTAGTCTGTTGTATTTTTAGTCTCCTTGTGGGACAGTGGTAAGTTTATGGACTCGTTGCACTGGTGTCAGTGGTCTGATTCCCTAGGTTGGATGTAGCAGATGGCACAGGGTTGCTTTGCTCTAACAAAATGACTTTACCTCACAAAATGCTGTTCCAATCAATGGTAATCAACACAGTCTTTAAATGACCTATGAAAAATGAAAAGGAGGCCACTTTGGGATATACTGCCTTTGATTTGGGGATGAGGGCATATACCAACAGTCAGGATTTCTAGGGTCTATACACTGACAAAAGAGAATTCCATACATAATGCTTTCATCCTTCTTGCTCTTGGACCTTCTTCTTGGGACCATTCCTATCTTATCACCCTTCTAGCTTGCCATGTTCCATGGGTGATGCCTGTGGTAGTAGGTCCTTTGTCTTATTCCAAACAGATTCTCCTGACAGATTTGATGTTGCATTGCAAGATTCTGTTGGATTGCTTCTCATTTTGCAACTCTAATTGGTGTATTGGCCTCTCATTCAATCACCTAATACTGACAATTTGTTCTCCTGTACCTCATCTTTGGGCCTGTAGACAGGATGGGATTACCACTCTCAACCTTCTCTTCACTTTATATGTTACCCTGGGTACAAAATATGATTTGTTCCAACCCACTGTCAGATCCTGTTCATTGCACCAGATTAGTGGCTACATCTGGGTTTTTGCATTTGCAGTCCCTTCTGGTGTGTCCAACTCTTCCACTTTGTTTTAAGCTCTCTCTGTGGAGGCAGCCATGATCATATATGGTGCACCTGGCTATCAAGAAATTCAAGCTTGTAGCGTAGAGGTTATGCTGTCTTTTACACTGTATTGGGGTTTAATTTCTAAGGTTGACATGTATGTGGCTCAGTTTCTGCTTAGTCCAATAATCATTTTTCTCAAAATGCATGTCAGTAATAGTGTATTGAGAGGAGGTTGAACCCTTTTCAATCAGTGGTGTCAACCATAACTTGTTTTTTGCCTTGGCTCTTTGATAGAGGTTTTTCCATCTTCCGCAGTTGCCATTGTTTATGGTAGCCTTATCAACTACCATTCAATTATTGCAACTAAATATTTTTGAGTCCCCAGTACTCTCCAGATTACTCACATTGTTTTGGGTAATTGGTTCCACATGACCATTCCAGTTACCTAATAGGTAGATTCAGGTTGTGTTCTTTCTCTACACATGTTTGTGACCTGATTCTTATATGCCATCTATCCCCTTTACCTGCAGGTTTATTTTTTATGGATATCACTGGTTGGAGTGATTTGCGAGGTTTGTCCACAGACCACTTTCTTGTTCTCTCTACATACTCGGACCTGTTCTTCTTACCCAACACTGTGTCACTGCTCACTCTTTCTCTCTATCAATCTTGGTCATGTTCAGTGAGGGTCATGAAGGTCTTGTTGCCTGCACTTATACCTTTATAGATACTAGACAACACTTATTCTTGGTTTTCTTTGGAGGCAAAGTATCTTCTGTGAGTCACACCTAATCAGATTTCTCTTTTCTATGCCCTTAGCAGCTCAGTCGATTTACCGGCTGGAGGTCACTGTGCTTACTGGTGTGTGAACCTCCCTCAATACCTTTATCTCACATTATTTGCCTGGACCTGGCAGTCTCTTCATCTGGGGGTTTTTGCCTACCCCCTGTAGCTATCTTAACTATTTCTGCTAGATTATCCAGAGGGGTGAGTATTGTTATTTCTACCTTTCAGGGTCCCTTACCTTGTTTTCACAGGATCCCACTCTGTGGTGAGTGTTGCCCAGATAGGTATGTTTTTATCACACCTAGCAACCACTATTTCACTATAATTACTACCAGTTGCAACAGGCTCTGTAGAAATGAGGTGAACCATAAGACCACCAAGGAGCTCACCAGGTGGTATTACCACCCTATGCTGGACCACCACTCATGGACTATCATGAGTAAAGCTAAAGGGGATTCTGCCTGTCCCTGCCAATCATTGGATTGAATAAATCAGGGTTGGTTTGCTTTTAAAAATTTAGGGAACTTGTTTTACCTTTTGCACTGTTTTCAGAACACGGTTCCTCAGAATCCTCCAAAGCACATTATCCCCCACATTCTACTAGTGGAACTAGGGAGTCCTCATCATACCCGGTTTCCTGTCACTTTGGTGGTGGATAGAGGTTTTTCTTCCAGAGTGTTAAAGTGAATTCTT